GCCATCTAACGTAAAGATGCAATTGGCAATGTTGTGCTTTTTTTGTATAAATTTTCTTCTGACTGAGTAGTCGTGGCATTATAAGCCTTGGCTGGCAGCTCCTTATCCATTTTTCATGGAAAATTTGTCAAATCATAGTATGTCATGCCATCTCTGAAATTTTGCAGGGTTTGCTGATATGTTCAAATATAAATTATTAACTACGTAACTTGCTGGACTCCGAATTTGTTTTTTCTTTTTGACTTATTCACTTTTATCCGTAGCCAGTTACTGTTTTTCAAATCTAAAGATCACTGCTCTCTGAATACATTAAAATCAAATTTCCTAATAATTTCTTAATGATACGCTAAAATCAAATTTCCTAATAATCCTGAATTAGCAATTAATTCTGCTGGCATGATGAAATCTACGTACAAAGTGATCAGATATGCAAGCATTATAAAAAATAACAAACATTAAGATAGCCAGCCGACTGACCATTAAATGATGCCGCTTTGGTCAAAACAAATGGAAATGCTTCCAGTTGCGTAGATGAAGAATTCATTCCGCTGCGAACTGCAGCAAATCAAAGTATAGTGTATGAATTGTGCCAAGAAACTGAAACCGCAATAAATCAGATTAGTCAGATTACAACGAATTTGCAGCACTCTAATTTAATTTGGTTTATAGAGGCTGCTGGCAGTTACAATAGATTTGGATAACTTTATAATGACTAATGGGACTGGAGCAATAGGCTATTTTGGTAAATCAGGGGAGTGAAGGAATGTGGGGGAAACTAAAGCGCAGAGTAAAGAGGGTAAAGGAAATTACTTAAACGCAAGATGTTGCTGCAACGCTGAAATAAATGGAAGGGGGGAGGGGGGAGGGGGGAGAAGGGGGAAGTAAAGTCGTGAGAATGAAAAGCTTAGAGACCGGGGAAAAAGTAATGCAGAGATAAATAAAAGATTTTCTGAAAATACCACTCTAATAAATGAATTTGTGATTTTCAATCATTATTTTGAAAATGTTGCGGTAAAGGGTAGATTTTGCGAGACAAAAACACAAAAAATAATGGTAGGTTTTTAATTAAAACAGCAACTGCTTGATAAATTGTCCTTGAAAAAGGAGGATTCGCTTCTTTTTGCCCTTTCCCCTCCTCCTTCCCTCTATCGCTGCGGTAAAGGCTTCTTGTGACTGCTTTCGCCACATTTTTACTCGCAACTTTAGAGCACTTAATACTGCAGAATTGTTATTTGTCGCAGCATCTCTGGATTAACAGGATCCAGCAATGCTGAGAGGGGTAATCTACTGGACTACGCGATATGCTTCATTTTAGTACATCTAGTAATGCATTTGTTAGCAGCGCCTGCTGCCCCTTCGTCCACGCTTCTGACGCAGAAGTTCTAAATGCCAAATCGATAAACCAACTTGTCTTCTACTTATTTATTCATTAATCTGTCCTCATTCACTGTTAACAGTGCCCTCGAAATTCACTAAGATGATTGGTAGGCTACGCTCAAAGATGCATAGATATGCGAGCTCCTTTTCCAGTTTAGATTCTACAAAAAACGAAATTTCTGCTTCGCTTTGTTTCGATTCGAGAGAACTTTCTTTTTTTTTTAAAGAAAAAATAAGCCAGAGCTCAAGGTGCATCGCTAAGGCAACGAAGCGATTACAATTATTTTCAAATTTTTAAACCGCACGTTAGCTAGTATCGATGTTTTTGAGTTTTATCAATTTCTTTTGCTATGCCACGCATCAGCACATACTTCTAATTTTCGAGCGCCTTCTCTGCTTTGCATCCCTACTCTAGTCCTAGAATCACGTTTTTCTCATATCTTACTACTCTCTAGCTTTTATTTTTTTTTTGTCGTTATGCTGACGGGATCCAGCTGTAGCATTAAATTAAGATGACATGTATGGCTTGATGGGCCGAAAGGTCTGCATTTTAGTTAAATTGCTCTATAAACTATAAGTCTCAGTCTTTAATGTTTATTTAAAAAATTCCACTCTTAGTTAATATCTATTCTAAGAATAGTTCGTAATGCTGCCTAAGCTCAATAAATATTTTAGCATCTAACATCAAATAAATATTGGTTTCGATTAACATATTCTGTTTGAAATACTAGCAAAATATTATTTATTTTTTTCAACGACAGTTGCATGCATCATAGTTTTTGTTTTGCTGGTTTTAATGTATTGATTAGGCCTCGTCAAAAATCTGCGCCTCCGACTGCATCTTAAACACTATTAGAAAACATCAGCTATGCATTTATTTATTCGTCAAATAAAACGAACATATTTTTTTGTTAGAATGAAGTTTTGCTGATTATTCATTTTTTTTCGCAGCCCTGACACTTCTTTCGTTCTGGCGAAAACCTCATTTTCACAATTATCCCAAAATTTTGTGGGCTACTCGTGTTTGCCGAGTAACTTCCGTCTTGATTTTCCAGAAGCCTTGACCACATCCGAGAGATATTTTTGACTGTGAGTGTAATTTAATTTGCAGCATATCAGAAACTGAGGAAATCGAGCTCTCAAAATCTTATGAAAGAGAAAGACAACGATGAAAACAAGAAGCATCCAGAAGCAAGAGCAGCCGTACTGCAAGCCGAGCTCCGATCTTCGAGGATATGAGGAGTTCACTGGGCGCTATTGTCTGTTTGCTATGCCGTTTCATGGTACGAGCGGTTCAGACGCCTTATCAACCGTTCTTCTCTCCTTGCACATTTCCGACACCTGCTCATCAACCGCTACAGGTCAGTTAATTTAGTATTTGAAATAAAAAGGGTACTCTAGCTTATCATTTCCTGTCCTCCTCTGGTGTGATTGGTAATCTCACTTTTCGTGGCCGATTTGCACCACCTGACAAGGTATTTCTGGCTTTCTTTCCCGCTTATATGGGTTTGCCTGTGTGTGCGTTTGTGTGAATGCTCGTTTGTCCGGGCATTTCTACCATCTAACTAGATAAATTTTGGTGCTGAAATTTTGCCAATGTGTTCGCAGGCCAGTTGCTACCCCGGAAAACCAACTGTCATGCGTATTTGCATCTCTCGCAAGGACACTTAAGTCTTGGCAGGAGAGTTACTAACTCGAGAAAAAGAAAATTTAGGAGACTGAAATTTTAAGGAGACGTCCCCTCTTATGTATGACCAAAAGCTTTCAAATCCAGTTTGTTAGTACATTTGCGTCTAACACGCTGACGCATGAAAATTTTGACTTGAAATGTATTAATTCAGGAACCAAAGAAGCTGGAAAGCTGAAATTTTAAGGGGTTGTCCCCTGCCTACGTAAAACTTAAAAATTTCAAATCCAGTCCCCGGGTACGCATGGTCCTCATATAAGCGAAATTCGTGGCGAGAAAATTGCTAGCTCGGGAACCGGGAGAACCAGGTAATTTTCAATGAATGATTGCTCAAAGGAAATTATCCATTTTCCTTTATGCAAAATTTACGGTGATTTACGGCAATAAATGCACAAGTTAAATATGAAGCAACAATCATTCATGCACTTAGCGACCTGCTGGCTCATGGTTAGCGCAAAAACACACGATCAAACCGAAAAGCCTCGTGTGTTCCAGCCTGGGTTTTTTTGTCTTTTTAAAAAAGAAAATGCTAGTCATTCTACCAATTCCCACTTAATACTATTACCAACATCATTGTTACTCGCTTTGCCAGCAGTCGATAGTCGTTTCGCATTAGTGAGTGGTACCGGAGAAAAACTAGACGACCAGTTCACTAAAAGGTGTTCCACGTAGGCGCATTAAGTGGCGCCTCCGCCCTTGAGTAGCAAGTTTTATCGTTTTCCAAATTAAGCACTTTGAATAACAAATTTATGTTTTTTTCTTCTTTTTGCTCAAATTTTCTCCGAAGTGCTGTTTTTTGATGTTCAAAAATAGACTCTTTGTGCGATTTTTATAGTGAAGAGCGGCATGCTCTACATCATTTTTACGTTTCTTGTGGCTAAATTTAGCACTTCGTTATCTCGATTTTACGCTTTTTTTGGTGAAAATTTGCGCAACTATGATTAAATTTTATGCGTTTCGGGGTAAAGCATATATCTGATTATCAAATTTTGATTCACTACTTCAGTTTTTCACACATTTTTTCCAGTCAATTTTTTTGCTTCCCAATTTTCAAAAGGCTGTACATTTCCGTTACTACTGTGGATGCTGTACTAAATTTTAGAAGTGCACAGTGTTCAAATTTAACGCTTTTCTAGTATTTCAGTCCA